CCGTGACACGGACGTGTCGGGCCGTGTCACAGACGCGGGCAGTTTTTATTCCCTTGCCTTTTTGGATAAGGAGAAGAATTTTGGACATTACAAAAGGTATATTAACCCTATTCTGAAGGAAAAAAGGGGGAGAACACAAGGAGAAGTGCTTGGAACACAGAGGAAAGGCAATTGGGAAGAAGAGAAGATCAACCACAAGATTTCTAGTTTTTCTTTCTCTCTTTTGAATTTATTTTTTCTCATGATGATTTCTAATATGTCTATGTATTTGAATTCAAACATGAGTAGCTAAATTTCTTTGATTCTAAGACATGGTAGTAGATTAATAGTTTGGGATTTTTGGATGATTTACCATAGTTGTTTTTTTCTTTTGAACCCTATTCAAATATTTTGTTCTTATTTCATGAATTGCAATTGGCCACTGCTTTTACATATTTGATGATATTGTTCATAATTCGAGAGATGAGTTCAATATTAGATCTTTAATATTTGACATAATTTATTTGCTTGAATCGAGAGATTAGTAGATAGTTGTGAGGGTTTTGGGTCTTCTAATATTTTTGGAGTTGAATTGCATGTGTTGAGTGGAGACGCTAATATATGTGATTTAATCTACAGTTTTATCGATCTCGAGAGGGACGATAAGCTAAATTTGTGATCATCTTATAGGGTAGATAAAGAAAACATTTAGTTGTGATATTTTTGAAGGAACCCAACTATTAATTGAACCCAACGTCTTAGAATCTATCATTCCCATATATTTTCCTACGTGTTTTTCTAGCTAGTTCTTTATTTTTGCTTTATTTCTTTTCATTTATTTTCTTAGTTTAGTTAATCAATCTCAATTACAGTCGTCTAAATAAAGTTGACACTATCATAATCTTGTACTTGATATATTAATTATTTGGTCTCTTGGGATACGACTTTGCTTGCCACATACTACGAGCGAAGCCGTACACTTGCGGCCGAGCTTTAAAAAAATAGGCGAACAAGTTTTTGGCGTTGTTGCCGGGGACTAATATAGTTATTTATATCAATATTAGGATAGGTAGTGAAAATTTTAATTTAGATATTTGTTTATTATTATTGGTGACATAATCTCTCTTATTCTTGATTTCAGGACGTGCATGTTAACTCGTTCTAAAAGTGCACCACTACAACCCTTGATTGACGAAGTTGAAGCATTCGCTAGACGCAATAGTGCAACAACTAGAAAAAGAAGGGGCAAGTCAAAGTGCACAATGGCAGAGCAAGAACAACAGAAGCAAACGATTTGTGATCACTTTCGGCCTGAATTTAATAAGAATTTTGGCGGGACTGCACATATACCCGTCAATGCGAATAATTTCGAGTTGAAGCCCTCCTATATCTCGATGGTGCAGAACAACCAATTTGGTGGACACCCGACCGAGGATCCGAATCAACACTTGACCCAGTTTTTACAAATTTGTGATTTGGTCAAGTACAATGGTGTCTCCAAGGATGCCATACGGCTGCGTCTATTTCCCTTCTCTCTAAGGGATAAAGCTCGGAGTTGGTTGTCGATGATTTTTGATGGGAGCATTAAGACTTGGGAGGAGTTGAACCATAAGTTCTTGCTTAAATATTTTCCTTCAAGCAAGTCGATTCAACTCAAAAGCGAGATTACTCAATTCAGGCAGCAAGACTCGGAGCCTTTATACAAGGCGTGGGATCGATTTAGAGTGTTGTTGAGAGAATGCCCTCGACATGGTTTTCCGGAGGATAAACAACTCTGTTTCTTCTATAACGGGTTGTTGGGCCAAACGAGAGCTTTTGTTGATGCGGCAGCTGGAGGAGATCTATTGGCTAAAACACCGGAGGAAGCGTACAACTTATTGGAAGAGATGGCAGTGAATAGTTATCAGTGGCCTTCCAAGAGGTCGAGCATTAGACGAGTGGCGGAGGTGACGTCTTCGGATCCAATTAGCAGTGAATACCATTTACATCTTATAAGGTTTCTGACAATGTAATCTTCTGTGTGACTTCTAATACACTATATTGTCTATAATATAGGATAATTGGACATTTAGCATACGAGTAATCATAAAAATTGCAGCAATGTGATAATGCTTATTTCATCCAACTTGGAAATCGAATAAATACATTCTAAAAGCTCACATAAAAGTGTGCTTTACTGTACACACCAACAGATATAAACCATCAACGTCAGCAGATAACACAAGCTTCTCTCGTGATTGGCAAAAAAATACCAGATCTGCAAAAATAGTAATTGATTTGTGCAATGATGCTCCTTGGGAAGCTCTGCAAAATATAATTCCAGAAGCCATCAATAGAAAAGACAAAATTACTGCTCCGACGTTCACCGACCTATGTAAAAAGGCCCCCATTACTTTAGTACGCCCCCTCCCCACCGCCAGCGAAGCCTAGTGACCTCGTTCACCCGCACGCTAGTCACCCACCATGCCAGTCCGTGTTGACATAACTGTTAACACAATTATCTGCATATTTGAAGCCTATTTTTCTGTATAATTTTACGCACTTCGTTAATTAACTTTGCATGTGATTTGCATATTTTATCGTATAATGGGATCACACTTGCTCAAGTATATTTGGTTCTCTGTAGCATAGTAATTTATCACACAGTGAGCACACATTTGCATGATTATATTTGCCTATTTGTGTGTAGTTTATTGCATAACTATTTTTCAGCTTATCAATTATCTTCTCATGTCTGCCGCGTAATTTATCACATAATAATATCTCACTTTCTTGATTATTTTCTTCTGTCTGTCGTATAGTTAATTGCATAAGTAATTCACATTTGCTCAAAGAACTCCTCTTGTTTGCTACATACATTATCGCGTAATTCGTTTCACAATTGCTTCATGAACTTCGCATGTGTGTCGCATGAGTAATTTGCAATTTCTCAATTAATGTCGCCTCTCTGTTGCATGCTTTATCGCATAATTTGTTTCACACTCAACTCATTGAACTTCTATTGCATGTCGTACATCATATTGTATAAGTATTTTGCACTTTATAAATTTTCTTCACATGTCCGTCACATAGTTTATAGTATATTATTATTATTATTATTATTATTATTATTATTATTATTATTATTATTATTATTATTATTATTATTATTATTATTATTTTGCAATTTATCAATTATGTTCGCTTGTTTGTCGCATAGGTTATGACATAATTATTTCACACTTTATCTTCATCTTCGCTTGTCTGTCGGATAACTTTTTTTTTTTTTTTTTATATTATCTTCGCTTGATTGTAGCATAGCTTATCGAATAATTGTTACACACTTTATAAATTAAGTACACATGTGTTCTTATAATATATTGCATAATATATTTGCACTCTATCAATTATCTTCGCTTGTCTCTGGCGATACTTTCTCGTAAATATTTCGCACTATCAGTTATCTTCGTCTATCTGCCGCATATCCTTTCGCATTACTATTTTGCACTTTATCAATTATCTTCGCCTATCTGTATTATAGTTTTTTGCATGAAGTTGTCTTCCCTTGATTGTCGCATAGTTTATTGCATATTTATTTGGCACTGTGTAAATTATCTTCGTCTAGTTGTCGCATAATGTATGCATGATGTTTTTACACTATCAATTATCTTCGTCTGTCTCTCGCATAAATATTTCATACTGTATCAGGTATCTTCGTCTATCTATCGCATAGCTTTTCCCATAGTTCACACTATCAATTATCGCATAAATATTTATCAGTTTATAAATAGTTTTCACCTGTCTGTCGCATATCATTCGCATAAATATTCTGTACTTTATCAATTATTTTGCCTATTTGTTGCATAGTTTTTCGTATAATGTTTTTATACTTTATCAATTGTATTCTCTTGCATGTCACTTATCATTTCACATAAATATATTGCAATCTTATCAATTATCTTCGACAATCTGTCGCTTATCCTTTCGCACTTTATTTATTATATTTACCTGTTTGTCGCATAGTTTTCGCATCAATTGTTTTCGTCTGCCTGTCGTATATTTTATCGCACTTTACCAATTAGGTTCACCTGTTTCTTGCATAATTTATCAGGTAAATATTTGCACTTTATCAATTATCTGGTAGCACAACTTTTTGCATAATATTTCGCACTTTATCAATTATGTTCGCCTGTTTGTTGTATAATATATCGCATAACTAATTCATACTTTATCAATTATCTTCGGTGTGTCACATAGTTTTTTGCATAATTGTTCGCACTTTATCAATTAAGTTCGCCCACTTCTCGCATAGTTTATTGGATAATTGTTTCGCAGCTTATGACAAGAAGGGGTAGCTGAGTTGGTAGCCTCCCTCACTTGAGACCAATAGGTCACGAGACCAAGGGGGTAAGTGGAGAACCAATATTGATCCTCTTTAAAAAAAAAATGTTTACATTTTATATGGTGAAAAAGTGTAATATTTTTTTGCTCGAGGGATGTAACTATTTCCTCTCTCATTTATTTATGTTATAAAATAAGATAACAATTCATATAAATTTGAACAAAATCTAGAACGATTCGTCAAATTAAAAACAAATTTGTACTAAATGAAGAAGAAGATTGTATATCTGCAAAGAGCCTCTATGTTTTTGGATCTGTGAAGTTGAAGCCCAGAGCACCATGGACTCCAACATTATCTCCCGCGCCCATTCTTTCTGATGCCATTATTCTAATTAAATCATATCCCAAGTTGCCTCGCCCACTCACTCCACTCACTCACTCACTCACTCACCTCCCCTTTCCTCCTAACAAAGAAAGCAACAAACAATACTCACCAACCACTTCAGAATCTCAGATCCAACAGTACCACCCTCTTTATTTTCCTCATTTGTTTTTCTCTTGGATTCCCCGCAGTTAAGCCCACACACACTGACACACACACACACACACACACACACACACTTCTGCGTGTTTGTATCACAGCTTCAGTTGCGTGTTTCTTCCGTTTCCCTTAGTTAGTTAGCAGTCCCATTTCCAATTCAATGGCCTCTGACAGCAACAATAGCAGCAGCAGTAGTAGCCACCATAAATCTCTCTCATCAAGAAACCAACAGCAGCAACTCGTCTCCGCAATGATCAAGCAAGGCTTCATCTCCGACCCCTTTCTTTCTCCTTCTCGCCGCAACTCTCTCTCCCCTCCCGCCAGCTTCCGGGCCATTCAGAGCCCGACCCTCTTCGATATGATGTCCACGGAGCAGGCCCGCCAACCCAAACCCGCCTCCGAAGCCCACAAAAAACTCCAAGAAAGCGTTTCCCTGGTCCTGTCAGAAGCCCCATTTCAGAACAGTGACCAGTGGGGGATGGCTGACGTCAGGCTGACGATAGCAGCGAGGGCGGTCGCGGGAGAAGGGGATACGGGGCCCTTCCGGGTGTCGATGGAGGTCCACAGGAGTGTGCTGGCCGCGAAAAGCAGATTCTTCGCTGAGAAACTCCGGAGGAGCGGGACCCACTCGGTCGAGATTCTTGATTGCGATAACGTGGCGGTTTATGTGAAGGCCGTGGTGCTCATGTACTGTGATGAATTGAAGGCCAAGCTTATGGGTGCGGAGGTCCCCAAGATTTTGACCCTCTTGAAGGTTCATCTCTTTACTCGTCTCTCTTTACTTTCTGTTTTCTTTAGTTTTGTGCTTTTGCCTTTTTCGTTTTGGGGACTTTTGTTTCTGGCAATTTGGTTGGGTTATGTGGGCTTGTCATGAATTTTTTACTTTGTCAATTCAATGTATCCTTTTCTGCGGTTGTATGTGCATTTGTGAAGGGAATAAATCAATCTAGTGAAATTATCACTTGGGACTCAAAATTAGTGAAGTCGAATTCTCACATTGTAAGCATTTTTTTGCTTTTCTTGATTTTTTGGGGCCTTCTTGTTTCTTACTGTTTGGTGGTACTATCATGGAGGGTTTTGGAGACTCAGTTATGAATTGTGAAGTACACTAGTTCACTACAGATTGCTCTAGATTTTGAAGATTGTAATTTGTTATTTTCTTTGAGCTGCTTGAATTTTGGTTTACTCATGTCTTCTGGCTGTGGAATAATTCCCGAGGTTATAGACAATTTAGGAGAATCTTAATATTAATTCTTCTTGAAGTATATGGTTTTGGAAATATGTTTGAAAAATTCTTCTCTGATGGCATATAGTTGCATTCCTCTTGCAGTTTTACAGGCACCTTTGTACAAGCATAGAGGTGTAGCCAAGGAGGGCTTAACTCATTCAATCACTTTTATTTAGTTGTATATGCCTTTAGCAAGAAAACTTATCTAATGTTTACTCTCACTGGCATTTAGAATAGCTAAAAGCATATAATGCTCACATGCAGATATCATCTGACATTATGTTTGATGACGGGGTACGGGCTTGTTTGGACTACCTAGAAGCAGTGCCTTGGTCTGAGGTCGATGAGGAGAGTGTGGTTTTTCATCTGAACCAACTGCAGCTCGACAGCTCGAAAACAGATGTCGTTCTCCAAAGAGTGGTACCTGACCCATCCACATCCCCAAGAGCAGATGAGGTATTTCTAAAGCTATCCATGGGCGTATTGCAGGCCAAAGACGACAAAGCCCGTCGAGAAATCAAGTCATTAATATCTCGTTTGCTTAGAGAAGATCACGATAATAATGATAGCAATAATAAGCTTGATATCTCGAAGGACACACTTTACCAAATTTGCCACAGGTGCCTTGGTTCCCTGATCCTATGCTTATCTGGGGCCACGTCCTTGGACAACGAAAGCGGGCCAGCCCGAGGGACCCTAATGGGTGAGATAGCCCGGGAGGCCGACAACATGCAGTGGATAGTGGGGATTTTGGTAGACAGGAAAATGGGGGATGAGTTTGTGCAGTTGTGGGCCGACCAAAAGGAACTTGCTGTCCTTCATTCGAAAATCCCAACAATGTACCGGCACGAAATTAGCAAAATCACTGCCCAATTGTGCGTGTGTATTGGTAAAGGGCAGGTCTTGGTTCCTACTGAGAGTCGGCTCGATTTGCTGTCCACTTGGCTGGAGGCTCTTTATGATGATTTTGGGTGGATGAGGATGGGGGGGAGGTCGGTGGACAGGAAGATGATCGAGGATGGATTGGGCCGGACGATTTTGACCCTGCCTTTGGACCAACAGCAACAGATTCTGATTAAGTGGTTTGATAGATTTCTTAATGGAGGGGACGACTGCCCCAATATTCAGAGTGCGTTTGAGATTTGGTGGAAAAGGTCTTTCGTAAAGGGCTATGTGGTTGACTCGGGATTGCAGATGACAGTGTGTGATGTCTCCAATTGAATGGGTATGTTGGTTATTGTCCGTGTCTTGCGATCCAAGTGCACTTTTGTGAATAAACGTATATTCCATTCAACCTGTTCATTATTTTTTCTCTGTATGTTTTTTTCTTCTGGGTTTTTTGGGTGCAAGTGACATTATCCATCTCTTTTGGTGGATTATGACTTGTCTGAGACTTTCTAAATACTGCGGATGGACTCTCAATAGGCATTGTAAAGTTAGTTTCGGAAATTTATCGTCTTAGGGTCAGTTACGTGTTGAGTTGCTGGAAGGATAACCGAGTAGCTACACTTATGTTGCACTTCTCTGGT